ACACCATTTAACTGGCTGGCTCAGTGATGAAACACACCGAGTTTATTATTAAATAACATATTAAAGTTTTTTGCTTTAATATGGTGCCTCAAAAATAAACTCAGCAGAAATGTAACCAAAGAAACAGGGAAAATATTTGTATATGCATTGTACATAAAGATAAGATCTTACACTGAACTCTACCCTTCTTCAGAAACAGCATTCAAGCCTTTATGCCAATCAAATAGGGAGAAAAAGAAAAAGAAAGAAGCTTAATCAGTACTTGTATTGGAGACTTAAACTGTCAAAAGAAGCAGCATGCAAAATTTAGTCACACAACTTTTCATTCTCACTTGATCAATCAAAACACAAAATGGGATGTTCACGCAAAGGAAATACTATAGATCACGTAAAACAGTTGAATCAAACCCGCAAAGACTTGTATAAAACTTTTCCAGGGAGCTGCATAAATTGAAGTGCTAAAACTCATTGTTTCATCCAAAAATTATACCAAGAAAAGTATGTTACAGGGAGCAACAAATTCTGCACATTTTCAAGAGTGCACTCCAAGGAAAGCTAAAGCACACCACCTTCATTTATTCTGGTTTCCCACAGTCCTCCAAACATCCTATTTTAATCCTATTCTAACATCCTTTTGGATTAAGACCTTGCTCAGGCCTTACTTTCCTGCATTTCAACTATAGAGAATTTCTAGTATGAGATTTTCATCCTATTTAAGAGTTTTCTTCTAAAGAGCATATTTTATTCATAAGCTATAGCCAAATATGATAATTTGAAGAGCATGCAAGTCCCAAGACACGTTTTTGGTACTTCTTTCATCCTTACATGCTCAAGGCAACATTTCTAGACCTTCGATGAAAATGATGATGTTCTAAATTATTTTATCCCAGCATTCTTTCTGATCTTTTTAGATCTCATAATTACCCAGTCACATACTCCCTGCAGAGCTAAACAGGCATACCTTCTTCAGAAGCAGCTGGATCACTCACATCACTTCCAAAGTCTGAAAGTTTGTTCTTTAATACTAATGGCATTTCCTACTATGGAATCAAGCTACCATACCACAAAAAAAAAAAGCAAAACAAAAATTACTGTTAAAAAAATCCTTTGGGATCATAAAAGAGGATAACTGTCTTAAACAGGAAAGCGTCATCATGCATTACATCTACATTTAATACCATCCGAAGAAACCTGAAAACTAAATTAAAACCAGAAACTTCTCCCCCCCGTTAATGTCTCAACCAAAAGCAGTAGTAGTAGTAATAATAATTAATAATAATAATAACAATCGCCAACTTTAAAGAAAGTCTTACTATTTCAGTTTTTAAGTATTTTGGTATGTTCTGGTTTTTAACTGATCAAGACATACATATTTTCCGCTACATTCTTCAAAGTACAGATGGAAGGGGAGTAAGAATTTACAAGACATAACATTGTTATACAATGTACTATACAAAAACCTGTCACTTAAGTTGCAAGAAACCTAGTCATCAATAAGTGAAAAAATACCCTGCTCAAAAATCAATTATGTTGAGTCTTTTGTATAGAGAAGTAGTACACCTTTCAGGCAACTGGTATTAATGAGCAGACATGGCTATAGAATCTCCATTTGTTTTTCTGACAAAGCTGTGACTACTCCAGTCTCTCATTGAAATTCCATTAATCTGGTGCACCAAGGACCAATGCGAAAATCAAAACTCCATCTAACCCTTTATCAGCTCACAATAACCTACAAGTGAACTCTGCCTGTTAGCATACAGCAAGTTATGATTTTGCTATCAATCAGGCTGTTAGCCAATAAAAAAAAAATCAAGTTAAGAACGGAGTGCCTGGCAGTGCTGTTTTGTTTTGTCTGTCTTGTTTTGGGGTTTGTTATTTTATTTGGGGGTTTTGTTGCGTTTTATCCCTCTTCCAATTTCTGTAGGTTGTCTGGACATGTAAGCCTATGCATCATTCTCCTTCGCTGTGATTTAATTGCTGCCAGCAATCAAGTCAAAGCATCACTGAAGTGTGCTTGAATTTCATTAGATGATATAACTTATGCTACTTTCCTACAGTACCTAATAAACCATAAAGAAACCAAAACACATATGGCTTGAGGGAATAACTGGAAAATTAGGTGGCCATTTGGGAACTGAGTGAACTTTTGAACCAGAGGAACAGAGAAAAAGAAATATTAAAAGGAAAGACAGACTTAGAATGCACACAGAGATGTGGGGGTTTGACCTTTTCAGTACCTAGAAAATTACATTAGCATTATGAAAAATACATATCATGTTTAGAGTTTATAATCCATCAAAGTTTAGATACTTTGTTAGTGCCTACCATAAGGTAAAAGTCAAAAGGACAACATAACAATCAGATTTGACAAAAGGCCTTTAGGGGACCTGTGCTAATTTAGTTATCCCATACTTATTGTTAAATGGATTATCTCTCTTGTAATTAATACACCATTAGACAGAGGTCACACAAAACCTCCAGGATTTTACAATGACTGTAATGTACACGTAATACACTAATTCTTTATCTGTTACCAAGTGGGTGTCTTCACAAATTATATTTTGACAGTAACACTGCAAAGTCAAATAGTGACACTTTCAGAAGTCGTACAAACCTTGCAGTCTAACTCATGTGCATAAATGTAAATGGCTGGTTTGGTTTGGTTTTTTTTAGCAGAAAATATATAAAAAATACTTTACATGAAAATATGAATGGATGCAAATATAAATAACAAACACCTCAGTTTGGTTACCTACAGTTAGGTTCCTCTGTTAATGCCAAAAGCCTTAATCATATACAAATGTGGCTTTACATCTCCTGAACTAAGCTGGTAACCATCAATCATCTACCTTACAGAGGCAGCTTCTTCAGTAGGTTTTAAATATTGTGCATTAACAGACTGTTTAAAAAAAAAATGACAAAAAACAAAAAACACACACACACCAAAAAAAAAAAAAAAAAAGAAAAAAAACCCACACAGTATTGAGCTTCAACAAACTCGTTCATGCCTGTGAGAACTGAAACAAACGGCACCTCTGAGAATCAATCCACCTCTTATAAGATTCTCTCAACATACATTTTCATACATAGTCTAGGTAGGCAGACTTGAATGATGGACCACACATGTTAAAATCAAATGGTCTCAGAATGACACACTGGACATTCAAAGAGAAAACAGAAACACTCCTCCAATAAATGGAAGTATTTACAGATCAAAATCTACCACCTTTTCTCAACTTCTCCTCGTGTTGCACTCCTACAAGATAACTGAAGAGGATTTATCATAAAAAGTAGAAAGACTGGTGAGGTAAAATAATCTTAAATACAACAAAATCACACCCACTATATTTCTACCTAAACTAGAATGTATCAGCCAAGATACCTTTGGGCAGCTATTATACATACTCTCATAATTTTAACTTTCAAAATATTCTAAAAATTATTCACCCATCTGTTCAAAGTCATACAGTATTTCATATATTCTTGCATCAGCATTATTCAGCCATTCATTATTTAGGTTTATGAACATTATAATTTTTTTCTTGATTAGCTGTTTTGAAACAAATCTATAATCATATCTCCTATTAAACAGCCATATAATTTTGTCACATACCCTTTATGCAATCAGTACCATGTCATTAATTTACAGTTAGAAATAATGCTAAGATTATGTTTGTAAGCAATAATAAATGCATGGAAAGTTGCATTCAGCTGTATTTTGGAAAATTAGCTTGGCTTTCCTAAAAGCGATATTCAGTTTGTCTGATAATTACCTTTCAACCAGAAAGCAAAAAGGCTTGGTTTTATTTCTTAATAGAAGGTCACATTGCCAACATGCAAAAAACTAAAGAGAAACCCAAAAAATCGTGTGATTATTGTTACACATTTTACAGAGTTCTGGATACAAAAAAAAAAAGTGCTTTAGCCTGAATCAATGCTTAGAATGTTTATCACTTATGCATGTACTTGACTTATCCCTGTTCTGCAATAAACATAATTTTATACCTCATAAAAGCAATTTATGTTTCCAAAGGGAATAATCTGGATAACATAAAATGTGGAGTGCTATGTTGCAGGAAGCATATTTTCATTCAGCAATTGTATTTCGAGATGGAGCTGCACAGTTTGATCATCATATCATGTCAGAAAACATCATTCACTAGTAAGTCTATCTAACTTCTAGTGCCAGAAATTAATATACATAGTTAATTTATTTGTACATATATTTAATTTATTGCCAGATATTATCCATAGAAGGTATTTATATTATGTATACAATAAACTAATCTCAAATATGGACACCATGCTAAAGCAAGCTTGTTAACTGTTGAAATATTCAATTGTTCATGTCTTCAGAACAGTCACACTTAGCATTGAATTTAATGAATACAAAATAAAACAAGGAAAACAGCTACAGAGCCTGGATTTTTTTTTTAATGCAAACTCAGATTTGAAATGTATATAATGAAAACATTCTACAAAATACTGTCTTAATGGAAGGAAACATTGTAAGAATAATTAATTTAATATTTTATGAACCTATTCTGCATGGAGTTTGCAGAAAAATATCAATCACATAAACTCTTTCATTATTTATTAGATAAATAATACAGTAAGCCATTAAGTAGCACAATAAAATTAAGCAAGAATCTGATAACGTTGAATTAACAAACAATTTGTTACTACAAATACTCAGTTTTAGCCACTGATCTATCTTCAAAAACATATGCATCTACAGAAGCTGCTTTGTTACGAAAACACATGAGTTTAAAAAAAAAAAAAGTGTAAATTTGAGACAGCTTCACTATGCTCTAGAACCACTAGAGAGAGCTCTTCAGTTCCTTTAAAGGTTCTTGTAAAGGTAAGAAAACCATCCAGCTGTAATGCTTATCTGTTTATCTGATTTCCCACACAAGCAGTCGCATCACGAGGATCCGATTGCATGAGTTTATAGAAAACTGGCAAATCTGGTACATTCTAAGGAAAGCAGTGTCACATACCATCAGAAGGTGCTTCGTCCTCTTTATCGTATCGGTCAGATGCTATTGAAAGACTATCAGAAGGCGAAGTAAAAGAGACCTCAGACTGTTCTTCATCTTCCAGTTCTGTAAAAGTAAAAAATACATGGATAGTTAATATAGTCTATCATGCAAACACAGACAGAATCTAAAGACAAGTATTTTTATTAGGAATACGGATATCAATTCCTATCTAAAGTGGAAGAAATCCCATTTCTCATTGATGCTTGTAACAGGTACATTGCACGCTCATGCGCAGCTGTGAGCACTGATGTTATGGGGTTACCTTCCCACCAGCCATGTATATGTTGCTGAAGCAGTTCCCCTAAACACTGTCACATAACAAATCCACTCCCAGCACTGCACATCTGACAGCTTCTCACACATGGGGGAAAGAAACACACAACACAGCAAAGAGGTGAGCAAGGGAAAACACTGGCAGGAGAAACAGGCAGTGCCAAGTTCCAAAGTTCCGCCCTGCCCGTGTGCAGGAAGGAACTGCAGCAACTTTCCTCCAAGGAATTGCCAAACTCCTGCTGGCAGCAGTTTGTCACCCTCTACCCGCTTTCACTTTTCTTCACCATAATTAGGCACTACTTTGCAAATGTTGTATGTGTACTCCTCCCATGAAACTAAAAATGGAATCACGTTCTGACAGCACCCAGTCTGAAACCATGCCTTCATGCAGCATTCTGTTGATGAATTTCTTATGCAAATGAGAGTCTTACAACAATATATACAAAAATCTACATTATGAACTAACCTATGCACTACAATGATTAGAGTACATTAAGTGTAAAGGTCTGGGAAAGGTAAAATGAAATCAATATTAGTTGAGGTTTCCATTTAATTAGACAAAATTTAAGTTCTCCCTCTCAAAACTCAGTATATTTTCTTAGATTTCTATTTCTTATACCATCTAGGTGAAGAAGAGGTGAAAAAATAAGAGACTGTTTCTTTAAAAAAAATGAGGAAAAGTCAATAATTATATATGATAAAAATCACCAAACCAAAATCATAAATCTAATGCTTCAGTAGATCAAATGACCCTCAATTTTCTCAAGAATCATATAAAGCTAAATTGCTCAATCATTGCCTTTTGGTATATTCCCATGGAGAAAGCTTTGCAGAGACCTCCAGATATGCTTCCCTATTCATGTGCTCCCTTTTAGAGCATTGTACCTGATAATTAATTTCTTAGAATCCAAAATAAGCTCCACACATAGAGAAAATATTATTCTCTGCAGACACATGAATAGCATTCATCAGGATTGCTTAGCCGTGGCTGAGTTTTACCCCTTTACTTCCCATTTAACAACAGAAAATCATAGAAAATTCAGAGTCTGTTCCTAAAAAGAACCACAGTTGCTAGCAAAAAACAGCAAGTTTTCCATGCAGATAAGACAACAAAGCCTCATTTTTGCTTTGCTGGAGTTCTTTGATATCCCACAATTGTTGAATACCAAATTGGTTTTCCCTTAATTAATTTAGCATGCTTTTCTCAGGAAAGCTTCCTTTCAAGCTCCCGTGCCATATAACAAGTGCTTTGAATCTGAACCTGACTCCAATCTATTTTTGACAAGGCCATCCTGCAGTAGCACTCCAGCCATCGTGTTAATCTGATCAAAATACTTGCATTTCATCACACCTGTCAAACCAATCAAAAGTAAATTATCCCCCTCCAGGATCCACCTCTCCCTCTAAACAGAAAACCAGAGAGCAGATAGCACATGAACAGAAAATATTATGCCATATTTACAACTAGCGTTATTATCTTTCACACTTACATATCAGAGACCAGTTGCCTGTCTGTCAATATATGTACATCTTTATTAGACAATAGACTCGCTATAAATAGAGCAGGCATGATATTCACAACCTATACTGTATCAAAATTTGCTTCACTCTTTTCCCATCCTAAACTAGAAAACTAGTACTAGAATGCACAGAATATGAATCTATATAGTGTGTGTATATAAGTGTATATATACATATATATATGTATATACACACACACATATGTAGCATATATATAAGCCCTGTTTGTCAGTCAAAAGTGTCCTCATCAGCTATGAATAAATGTACTATCATTTAACCTTCATGAAGGTGCCAGCATAAATTTAAATTATTATGCTGTATTTACAGAGGAAAAATGTTTCCACAAACACCACAATCCAGCCCTCAAAATTCACGGGCTGAATAATAAGAGTAAACCTAAATATATCTAAATGAATAGCACTTGTGGATGATAAACAGGCAAGTAAATATGTAGGAAGAACATCTCCAGAGAATTGTGCCCCACTCAGCAATACATAATCTCTTCCATGTTCTTAAGAGGCTTCTTATGCAAGTTACACTGTTACCTATCTTTTCCATTAAGTCACAATACTACCGTTTCAAATTATGCTTCGGATTTCAAGTTCAGTAAATGTATTCTGCTTTGCATTCATATAAAAGCCAGATCTAGACACAAGGGACTTCTTAATACATACATACATATATATTTAGGGAACATCATGTACCTACCCCAGGTATATCCTGTATTTGAAACAACAAAAGTTATGGGTACAGAGCACAGGTTTATAATAAAACAAGCATCTAAGTGTACAATATTCAAATTCAAAATGTTCTTAAAACAAAAAACATGTTGAGGTATTATGAGAAAAGAAGTTACACACTCAATGCTTTTAGCAAGTTTAATCTTCAAATCATTCTCTAGATGTTAAATCCCAAATAAAGGCTTGAAAACTTCCACACAAGGAGAAAATGGCAGACGGGAGGCAAAAAAAAAAACAACAAAACATTACACAACTTACTAAGACAAATATGTAAATCCCATCTACAGCTACAATACTACATTCAGGTATCCACATTTTATGCAAAAAATGTGGAGAATAGGTCACAAACCATAAAGAGAGGCACAAGCAACCTGTAGCCTTGCAGGACTAGATTAATGAAAAATCTTCCAATTTTTATTTTAGATTAAATCAATGTATTTGGAAGTTTATATTATACATTGAAATGCAATCCTTAAATTATCTAATTTGTACAAAAGAACTGCAGGCATGTTGATAGAGAGCTGGCTCAATCTGCTCTGGAGCTTTAACAAGGAACATTTCACAACATTTTTATGTACTTACATAGGGAAATGACTACAGGCCAGATTCAACCTTGGGATTTTGCCTCCTAATTCTCACAGGGTTAAAACACATCTTAGAAGTATATGTTACTAATATATAAGGATATTGCTCCTGACAATTCATTGAGAGGGCTCCTGTTGGTTCTGTGGGATCTCCTGCATTCCCCCTCAGAATAATCTGTCTCTTTTCCACTTTAAATGCTCCTCCGTCAGTGTGTTTCACTGCAATTTACACTCCACCTACTAAGACAGGCTAGACAGAATTGCACTTGAAGCTGCATGTGTTACTCCTCGAACAGTCGGAGGAGTCAGTGTTGAGCAGCACAAGCCACTACTCCTCTCTTCAGGTGCCAAGTACCTAAAAATACACCTGAAAAGCATCAATAAATTAAAGCAAAGCATTCAACTTGCATTTATGCAATAGAAAACCGAACTACAAAGCAACAATAGGCATCAGGTAAATGTATCCAATACAATTTGCAAGCATAATTGAAAGCATTGCTGCCTAATCAGACATCTAAAAGCAAAGCATGCTCAAACAAAACGTCTATAGACTCATTAGTTGGCAGCCATTCCATTACAATCACACATAATGTCAGTAGTGCCTTGAACCTGTGCCAATGACAACAGCATAAATTTTGCATCTCATTTCTGTGGCCATAAAATTAATGATCAGTTTAAAAATACTTCTTTGCAAAAGTTATTGCACAAAGAAATGCCATGAATGTGTCCCTGTTATGTAGTCACAAGGATAATCAAGGAGTTGATGCTCATTAATATAGTTTTTTGTTTCCCCAGAATACCATATGATTTATCTGGAAGTTGAAAAAAAGAAGTTTAATTAACAGTAGATAGTTAGCAGTTAAACAACATATGAACTGACCCTATTCTCCAGTTTCTGCAATTTAAACTAACCTTTTGTAGGTTTGATAGCAGAATCAATATTTTGTTATCTGTAAATAAAAACCCACACAAAGTCTTTACTTATTAAATGCTACCTTTTCCATTACAGCTTATTTATCGATTTAGGAAGTAATGCATAGCAAAGGGTAAGTGTACCACATTAGGAACGGAGCATAAAAGAAACTCTCCTCATTGTAACAAGGGCTGCACTTCAGTCCTTGACCCCTGTTCTGAAGATTTCTAACAGATTTAGTTGGTACAAGCTGAATATAATGAACAGGACCATACTACTTTATAAGAATCTAGTTTATAAAGAAAATTAATAATTTTTTTTTCCCCAAGAATTCACTTTCTTCTAAGATAGTGATTATAGCAATGAACTCCTAAGTATTAAAGATACTGTTTCCACCACTAACTCTAAAAAAAAGAGCATGCAAGATGTTTCAGCCAATATCCCTGAAAGAGCCTTGATAGCTCACATCCTCAGATCACTAAACAAAAAAGCCTAGACAGAGTGATGCATTGAAGTTGCTCAAGTATAAAAGAAATAAAGCAATTCACAAAAATAAAATGTCATGCAGTTCAAAACACTCTGCCTCTTGCTATCTTGGAAGGTCCCACGTCACAGCAGGTTGAAATCACTTCCTTCTGTCCACTCTCTGCGGCAGTAAGAGCCCACCAAACAAAGGACTGGATGGAGCCATCAAGAAGATCAATGCAAGATTCTCACTACACAGTTTTTCAGAAAAATAATTAGACAAAGCTGCTTTCAAGCTGGCACAGGTATTCTCTAGCCCCCTAATAGTCGCTGATGCTTTTTTAAGATGCTACTGACCCAATCCACCACTCATCTTGACAGACTTGATTCTTCTGACAGCCACTTTCTTAACGTATGCTTTGCCATGCAATCTGCTTCAATACACCCATTCCTGAAGAGTCTTCTGGAGTCTCATATTAACATGGCTGTTTTAAATGGCTTGTTTTGTAAAGGTCAAGTAGGAATTCTTTAGCAGCTATTTGTTAAAACAATACTGAAACACCATTAAGTTTGTAAGCAAATGCACTTCAAGCAAGAAAAGCAACACAACTCTTACTTGTTGACTTATCTTTCATTCTGATGATGCACATAAGACCATTTCGTGCTGCACCGGTGGTTCTGTGTTGTGCTGCTTTAAATTGCACTTAGCAGGGACACTTCACAGATAACAACTACATGTAGCTGAAACAGACACCAGTGACTTGCCTACAAGGAAACCCACCAGACTTCCAGGAGACAGTGGTACTTGGCAGAATTCTAATACATCTGATGGTCTCTCCAGAAATACATCATGAAGATCCTCAAAGGACTACACAACAACTAAGCCACAACTTTCCTATTTATGGTTATTACTAATGGTGTATTTATTCCCCTGACTGAAAGCTCAAGTGTCTTAAAATACAGAACTCGCATCCACATACTGCTGTGATGACTACAAGCTACTGCCTCCCTTTCTCAAGTCCATAAAGACTCTACCTGCTACCATTTCCTGAGGGGGGTTGGGGGGGAAGAGTACAGAAACAAAAAAGGAAATAGCACCTCAACAAAAAACATGGGGCAGGAGAAGAAAATACAAAGCTCTTGTATACAGTGCTACTCTGTCAGCTTGACTATTTCCAGGAAGCAGATGTCTCAGGCTCCAGACACTGCTCTACCAAGAGCCAGAGACATCCAAGTCACTTAAAGGCTTCTTCCAGGTACTCCCAATAACTACATAGAACACTGATGCTCTAGAGACACAAATTTATCTTCTCTTATACTAGAATGAAATTAAAATGAAAGTGGACCTTCATCAGTTTTCATCAGACTGAAAAGTGGTAGTTAGTAAAGGTCATATCATACTTTTCTGCACAAATAGAGCTGAAGTCGTGTGCCACAGCTCATATATAAGGTACACCAAGTGCTTTATGGGGAACTTGTTCTGAAAATTCCCCTATTATGACTTGATTTGGTTAGTATTTTTGGTGTCTCGCTTTCAACACCAAGCCAAAAATCTTTTGAGAAAAGTGATTAAAAATGTATCTTTTAGTAAAATAAATGCTAAGAGCAGATGGCAAGTGATCTTCAAACTCAAAAACAGATTCTAGGGCTTATAGTGCTTCTGCCAACTTTACTGCTATTTTTAGCATAAATTGAAAGCAAGGTTCTTTTAACTAAACATTTTGGCAGCCACGGTATTGATTCAATTAATCTCAAAACAGAGAAATGCCAAAAACTGTATTAACTCAGGATCTCTGACAAAATCCAGACTTTTATCTCCTTAGTGGAATACTAGTCTTACGAAAAATGCATCCAATTTGTATGAGAATTATCTTAGTTTTCAAGTTCTTTCTCAATTCTAAGATCTAGAACAGGTCACTTTGAGTGCGACTATGGTTTTTTGGTTTTGTTTAAACTGCTTAAATGAGGAGTCAAATATTTCAAATTAAAAGAAAAAGAAAAAACCTCAGCTGTTTCTTAATTTAAGAATAAAATAAATGCAATAAATGTTTAATAACTCAATAAAAAATAAAATTTGTGGAAAGATTAGTATTTTGGGTATTAACACAATTGTACATTTTCTGTCATAAGAACACCATGCACTTTGTAAATTAACTGTAAAAGTCAATATAAGATCAGATAACACATCACACATGAGAATTAAATATTTTCCTATACAACTAATTTTATGTCTTTAATTTTCACATATACCCACCTTCCGAAAAAAGCTTATTTTTTTCACTGTGTAGACACAGAAGGTGCTTTTGCCAGCGTATTTACTGACCTAACAGAGAAACTAAAAAGGCTGCTTTCTAGGAGGATGCAAGCAAGTCCCAAAGTTTATCAATTTGGTTGCAAAGAAACATGTATGCGCTTTATGAAAGTTAGAGATATTCACACAGCTGATTTTGGTTTTAAGGAGTCTGGTTCTACTTGTGCATGTGCTCTTCAACTTTCTTTTTTTTATTATTCTTTTAAAACCTCTGTGCCTTATTTTTATGAAAGATAAGATCCTGTGTGATAGTGGCCAAAGCCCATACACATACAGTACCTTGGTCAAACTGACCAGTTACCACATGCAAAGCCAGTAGAACTTCACGAGCATGCAGTGATGAGAGTGGAGTCACAAGCTGATGACCACAAAGCATAATTGTGGAACAACTCACAAGCTGAAGGAGCTGGTGTTTGAGAAACCATAGTCAAGTTTCATTATGTTATACAGAAGATATAACAATTTTTAAAGCATTTGTTCACTTCTTTCAGCTTCCAAAAGATTCTTCTGAGTGCTTCTGGAAGGATGACAGGTCACAACTCATTAGATTCTTGAAAACATCTGACATGGTACGATAATTAATGTACTGTGATAAATACTATACCATGATAATATGGCACATAATATGAACTATTCTTCACCTTTCCTTCCAGCTACAACAAAGACTATTTTATTTGCATTAAAAAAAATAAAAAATGGACTAACTGCCTCCACAAAACAAGGAACAGCAAACATAAAGTTTAAATGTGCACAGTAGTTTTTATTCTTCCTAGTTTGTTTCAGTGCAGTTTCCACATTTCTGCTTCCATCTCTCCCTTTTTCCTAAAGGATATCCTCCTTTTCCACCTTATATTTTGGGATATTTCTTTTTATTCTGGAGGAGGAGGAGCAGGAAAATGTCTGACCAACTCTGGTTTTAACCTCTTTTCAAATGTTTAACCTTTTCTCAAAGGTTAATTTTTTTTCCTCAGTTTTTAACCTTTCCTCAAATTTTCCATTTTTTCAAACGTTTAGGTGTGCACAGAGATATGAATGGCCACAAAAGCTGACCTCACTCAGCTGCTGCCACTGCTTTGTTACACTAGTAGCTGTCCAAGAATCTGACTGCTTACCTCCATGTGGGTCCTTTGTCCTACACCTACACAAGTCATGCCTAATTTGTACAGGCCTGGAGTAAGAATGACACAACTAAATGAGTTTAGCACACACTTCTTGAACTCTGGAAATAATACCAACAACCCATACCATATTTCCTCAAATATTTTGCAAATAAATGTAGGCTCCCATTTCTCATGGTTTGGGTTGTTTGGGTTTTTTTTTTTTTATTTATTCATGTAAAGACACAGAATTTAGAGAAATTTACCCTCACTTGCAGAAAACAATGGTATTACTTTAGAGACCTCTCATTTTATTGACAAATACTGAAAGAAAACTAAAGTATCAGCATTTACAAGCTTCCCCATCTATATGTAGTTCTACAGTCTGAACCAGCGAGACATCATGAGAATTTAAAGGGGCAACATATCCTTCCCAAGAATCAAATGCACTCTAATAAAAGGAATGAGACCAAATACAACCTTCACAGAAGTCAGAACAAGTTATACAGTAACAATTGCAGACTACATCAATTAAAACATCTATTTTGATGGCGATGAGATTTCATTAATTAATAAATTTGTTGAATCAGAAAAGAAATTCCAAATCAAATGCCAGTGAAGAAAGTAAGCACAGTAGAATTTTCCTGACCTTCATAAAAAGCAAACCAGTAAACACAAATTCTGCTCTCTACAGACAACTGTCATGTTTACTGGCAATTCACAGCCCCAGAAAGTTATTAAATCTTCAAAAATGTGCCCTCTGGAAAGTCAGATGCACTTGCAACAAAATAACTACCCTACCTTATTTCATGTTTGTTTAACAAAATAACATTTGACTTTTCTACATTTAGTTCTGTTGGACAGTGAGGAAAGGAAGGAAACTACATTTTAACTTCAATAAGGGTGCTGAGGTACAATATTAAAAAAATAGTAAATTATTTTAATGCATTTTTAAACTAACTACATAGTTTGAATTTACAAAACCTTGGCAACCTTTGGGAAGTTTCAAGCTGTATTTTCTTCTTATTCAGACTGCTATGGCTGTGTAACTTGAGTTAAACAGAGATAAGAAATGTATGAACTTGTTGTGCCTTGTTATAGCATTACTTGCCTAATACGACTTACATATTTTCACTTTATCAGGAGGCACACTGTAGCTCACACGTTTCAACCTCCTTGTCCAGAAACAGACAGTTCTTCAACCACTGCAAAAAAGTGAAGCTTTGCATTGGCTTTTTTGACCTCACACTGTGACCCTCATACCAGCATCCACAGGCTATAGGTCATGACCTCAAGAATTAGCATCATGGAAATAAGAGCCCTTCCAGGTTTAGTTAACAGAACAGAGCACTGTAGCAACACACTCGGACTTCTCTAAACTGAACTCTGCAGCTTTGTTTTAACTCCACTAGAAGACAATAGATAACACACACTTCAGTTTTCATTACTTGCACACTAAATCATCTCCTCTCCAACTGAAGGTCTCAGCTCTGGCTGCACTCTGGAAACATTCATTCAGCATGGATCGAAAGCCAATATCATATTGCCACTAGATGATCCTATTAAAAGGTTAAAGAAACATCACTATGGAATTGAAGACTTTTGCAATGTTAAGAGAAAAAGGCCGAAATAATTTATCCCTATGAAAATTTTGTCTCCTATACAGACTGCTTTGCACAGGCTTCCTCTGGAAAATAAAAAAAAAAAAAAACTGCTTATATGGTCTTTTGCAACGCTACACTAGTCCTAATTAAGCCAGACATAACAAGCTCCTATTCTGAACTATATTTCTAAGCTCATCTTTTCATCAGTAAGCCTTCTCAGAGGCGTTCAATGAAGGAAATGGGACCTGGCTTTGAGCGATGGCTTAGCGAGAACTTGGCAACCGAGAAGCTTATCCCGCTTCCCCCAGCAGGGGGAGCTAGGCTCTTCGGCCTCGGGAGCATCTGGGCACGGCCCGGCACGGCCGCAGCCAGCGCCTTGTGCTCCTCCGACTTAGGGTATGCCAGGGGGCAAAAGTACATCACGGGGGGGGGAAGGAAAAAAAAAAACAAACAAACAAAGCGCGACATTTACCTTTATCCTGGAATTCTTGAGGATATCTGCACAAAGAAGAAGAAATACAGTAAAGCAATGCACTTGCCAATCCATAGTACTAGAACACGGCACAGAACAGTTGCTAGCTTTTAACAAGCTTTGTAGTTGAAACTTAGCACTGCCAAGTTTTCCTTAATAATTTTTTAAGTCTTTATTTTTGCTAATGTATTTACTCGGTTTTTCTTTTGCCTCTGCAGCTGAGAGAATCCCTAGTCACTTCAAAGGAGGCTTGAACAAAACCAAACTCAGAGCTGCCGTTTATAGGGATATACATCTATTCAGTTATCTTAAGTTATAAACATAAATAAGCATCTTTAGTAAATTTTCCAAATGGTAACATATTCCAAAGAGTTTTGTGCACAAGTAAAACCCACTAAGCATACTTTAAAAAAGGTCAGCAGAAAAAAAATCCACAAATACTGGGTTTAGTTGCAATAATCTATGAAATTCAAATTTAAAAGTATTAATAATTAACCAGAAATTTAAAAGTTGATACAGGCCTAAATTAAAAAAGTCATTTTCAAATAGGAATATCTTACCGTACTTGATGCCTAAAAAACTTCTATTGCTATCATCCCAGAGGGGAAAAAATACTATTTCTTCAGAGCTAAATCTTGATATTTCAGGAACAAAAGTAATCATAGGATACAGGTTGATGTATATAGATAAATAATCAGGACGGAGTTATCTAAAACACCACCTGAAGAAGCTTTCATGGACTTTATGTGAAAAGGAGAGGATTTCACCAGAAATAACTGGCAAATAAAATGCAGCTGCCAAAACTATCTTTATAGACGATAAGCAGTAGTATGTGTATCAGGTTAGTCCTCAAGGAGATGTTCATAAGTAACAAGCAGGAGATAAAGGAATGGTCTAGCAATAAGAAACCAAGAAATGCACAGAGATAAAAGGCCAGATCTGAGAAATCCTGTATAGGAAGTAGCAGTGTTAGGCACAACCCAACATGTGGGATGTGAAAGTCAAAGATGACTACAATGTGCATATATTTTATAGCCTGCATGAAAAACAAAATGTTATTAAGACTGAATTACAGGAGGCAAGGAAGGAATCAGAAATTAAAGCAAGACATGAAATCGTGGGGTCACGTAAGCGAATAGCAAAGCATTCAGGGTCAACTGCGTTCATAACTGCAGGTTCCCTCCTTTGATATTTCATCATCAAAAAAAGTTGACTCATAAGACTGAAGATAAAGAGTCAGTAGTGCTGTATCTGCAAGTCATCTGTACAGTCCCAGTTTAGTTCAATAACCCAGATGGGAAAGCATGAAAAGAAAAAAATCCTGGTTCCTTAAAAAAGTAGTTCCCCAAGCATTTATAAACTGAATCAAAGTCACACAAACCCTCAATTACAAGACTTTGGGATACATCTCATGTCTTCCCACAGTTGGTATGATGCAAAAGAGTGATGCCCTTGCCAGGAGTTTGTGCTGTCTTTGAAATTGTAAACAAGTTGCCACAGAGGCAGGAGCATGTCATCAAAGGAAAGGTTAAGAGATATCACACTGGAGTGGATCAGTAGAAAAACAATTTGGAAACAACAGTGGGAAAAGAACAGCAAGTACTAGATTATATCCTAGTTGATCAGAGTTGTAAGAAAAGAGATTTTGTGAGTAAAATTTTGTATCACAAATAAAACTACAGCCAAATCTCTTCAGCTGACTTGTCTGACTGAAATTAAGACACAACAGAACAGAGTCTCAAATCATACCTATTGAGAAAAAAAAAAAAAAAAGAGGAAAAGGGGAAAAGGCCACAGTGCTCTGTGTGGTCTGTCACAGTACTTCACTACTTTAACACTGCGGAAACAAACTATAAATAGTTTCCAGTTATGTTTCAATTTGCTATTACAGAGCTAAATGACAGAACATAAAGTAAAGTCAGCATTCAACTATGCTGGGTTACACCAGCAGAGTATGGTGACAGGAAACTCATTCATATTTGCAATGCATTGTATTTCTTAAATTTCAATGAGTCTTACCAAAGCAGAGGTGAAGGCAAGCTCTACGGAACCAGCCTGCAATCAGGGTTCAGAATGTTACACCAATTCAAATAGGACAAATCCTTCTGTTCCCCTTTCTGACAATCGCAGCAGCTTCAGGAAAGATATAAAGACTTGAACCCATGCAGATTATTTGACAAAATCAGTACCTAAACAAATTTTTGCTAAAATTGTTAAAGGTTACTGAAAGATTGTAAAAACTTTATGTGTGACCTTACAGCATATTAAAGCCATGAAGGTTACTTACCTTGCCTTAACATCTTTTATCTTCTTAAGAAGAACTTCCCTTTTCTCTTTTGCTTTCTTAGATAAATTTTCTCCTTTTAGCGTTTGGGAAATAAATGTGTCAACATCTAAATAAAGAAGAAAAACAAAATACACCTCAAAAAAAGAGCAATACCCATGTAATGAGTTTCTCCTGATACTACTGTGAAAAAACTAAAAAAATTATTTTCAGACCTACACACAGCATAGTTAACGGACATTTCAGATTCTAAATGCGATACATTTGTTCTCTGATCTACTTATGCTTAGCACAGCAAATCCTATGGTGACACTTGATTCTTGCTCACTTAATTATGCCACATAAGTCCTAATAAATTGCAGTACTATAACAATTACTTTCCATCACCTAAAGTAGAGGATAAAGCTAAAACATGGAAATAGGCTTTATGCATGTATTACTGCCATGTTATTTCAGAAGTGCAAGTTACAAAAATGGCTGAGTGATTCATTATTTCAGCACTAACACCTACCCAGCTATTACTAATATAGGTCACTTAGTGGTTACAGCATTTTCAAATGGTCTCACATTGCCTCTGAACTCCCTAAATGACTAAAAGTTCACATCAAAAACCTTAATCCTGTAAACAATTATGGTTATTGTGCCTACCTATCAAAGAAGTCAAACCCAAGTGTGTACTTGAAGTTAAGCATACTTACACTTGTAGAATCGCAAACTAAAGCTCTAATCTGCACTGTAATTTTTAATTCTTATATGGACAATACATTTACATAGTCATGTAAAATCAAAGCATTCCATAAAATTTACCATGGTTCTTTCTAAATATTCATTCCATAGGATAAAAACAATGCAGTGACTGAGAATTTGGATGAGTGCAACTTCGCCAGTAGTATGTTTTCTTGATTAAGAAAAACAATTGAGAAAAGTAACTGTAAAAGTTTCTTATAGTTACCAATCAACATGCAATTATCCTGAAAACTGAAAAGTAGGAATATGCCAAAAAAAACTCTGCTTGTTAATTTGGATTTCTCAGACGTATGAGTAACAACTGTTCACTGAATAAATGAAAGCATACGTAAGTAACAAACACCCCTACACAGTGCCTGTCCACTCCCCATACACACACAGATACATACATGTTGGCTCAATCTGTGTAGATGCAAAATAGATATGGATAGTACTGTTTTAATCCTGTAACTTTTCCAATCTGATGAGATCTTCCATTTTCATAACTCTAAACCAGCCAATTAAGAGCTCAAATATTTGTGAGCAGAAGTTCACGTTTTAAAACAACATTAAATGAATATTCACTGCAGATTTACTAACTGAAAAAATTGACTGCTTTTTTCTTTATGAAACAGAAGTTCAGCAGAAATATACCCCACTTTATATTACAAACTGCAAGAAAACAAATGAAGTTACTCTTTGAGAACACTGGCATAGCTATTGCAAAAATGTCATTCTTTATAAATAATTTATGAGATGATTATTTAGATGTTTAGATTGCTGTCTTCACAAAGCATGGCAGATATCTTCTTTTTGGTTTGGGGGGGGTTATAAAGTATTTTAGGGTTCTGAAGAATAATATTACTCCCCATAAGACAGAGAAGCTTCCCCATTACATTTTCCAAAGCAGCCCTGAAGCAGCATGAACAACCACATTCAGGTCTATGGCATTCCTTCTTTAAAAAGACAGAAGGAAAGGCACTTAACATGCATATTAATGAATCCTGCAGACACACCCCCAACAGCCCCTATGCCCTACACCAAGCATCCCTGGAAACATGTCTTGCCTTAACCCATAAAAAATTTAAACACCTTCATAAATTCCGATTACTAGAATTGGTGATCAAGCAGGCAAATGAGGACCAATGCAGTCCAAAGACCAACCACAAAACTTAGGTCAAAAAACCCAATACTTTTACTACTGAAGGCAAAACCCAAAACCATCAAGTTTCTCTGTCAGTGAAACCCAACCGGATTTTCCAGTGCAAACCAACCTTTCATTCAGGGAGGTACAGGTGATTTAAATATTTGTTTCTTCACACTTTTACATGTTTATTTCAAAAATTAGATAGCAGTTTCAAAGTTCCCCCTGGGCAGTAACATGTGAAAGCTTAGAGGAATTAGTCACATTTATAAGTAAAGAACTATGATTGCACAGTAATCTTTGGACACCAACTAATCACAGAAATTTGCTTCAGAAGTCTTCACCTAAGCTCAGTGGGCTTCTTCACTTCTGAGAAAAGCTCAAAATCCAGGTGAGAACTCTGCCATCACAGGTTTTGACCTGACTGTCAAAGCTTTTTTCAAATACAAATGTTGAGGTAACACAATTACGGAATATGTGGGGAAGAGAAAACAAGTTGATTATCATAAGTAAGAATTTCCACTTCTGACACACACACAATATTCAATAGGATGCTAAAGAAGCAATTTAGTTGAAAAGCACGCTTTACTGTATCACAGATTTTTCTTATCTATGCACAATTACACAGACTGTTATATAACTTGCTCAAGCCATGTTCTTATCCAGTGTTGTAAATTCATCCTGGATGTGGCAGATGCACAGGAGAGGAGTAATTTAGTTCCTCTGGACAAGAAGCAAGAAAGTTCAGGATATCTAAATTGTGATCATCTCTTCACTATCTGTACTTCCAACACTAGGGAAGAGTATGGAAGAAGCAGTCCTGGCTGTTAAGAGAAAGCTTCCTCACTGGCTTAACATAAGGGAATGTTTATGCAGTTTCTCTTACATTCCATTAAGTGATATACCTTGGAATGAAAAGAGGACTCAGGACTCAGTATAACACGATCCAAGTCATATACAGTGAACTTCAAACAAGCAAAAATATTTACCTATTTCTCACCACTATTCTAGTCACCTACTTGCTCTTCTTTCTCCAGGATGATCCAAAATTGACACCTCCTCTGCTAGTTTAATGCGATACAGAAAAGGAAAGTGTAAACTACTAGTCACAAGCACTTGAGAGTAGACATGTTTCTTTATGCTTCAGTAGCAGTTGGTCCATTGAGGAATTTAAAAAGGAATAAAAGATAAACTCCAAACAAAACATCTTTGAGCAGATTTCCAACTTTAAAGCACTTTCACTAATTGGTTACCACACAACAAACAAAACAAATTATTTCCATAAATTGTTCGTTCTTAACAAAATGAGCACCTACTTAGTTACCACACATTGCAGGGACTCAGGTGTTTCCATTGAAAACACTAACATTTCAAAGATAAATAAACTTTGGAAAGCTATTCAACACCAACATTTTTAAAGCTTCTGTGTTAGACTTCCTGATAGCTTGAATACCCATCTTTGTTGCTCCAATTCTTAAAGCTTGTAATTCTACTTCGCATTAGCCATAGCCCAGAAAATTTATATGCCTCCAGAAATGAAAAATAGCTGCTGAACTGAAAGATGCAATTGATATGATTCACTCACAAATTGCTCTGTCAATACAGGTTACAAACTGACAGAAAAAGGAAGTCACACCACAGTCCAGTTCTGTCCACTTCAACCAGCTCGTATAGTTTCAAAGCTTAATTGCTAGTTCATACAACAATCAAAAGCTAAAAGGCCATTTTAATTCTATTTTCATCTACATTCCTTTTACAAGGAAAAAAAGCTAAGATTTATTTTGCACTTCATTGTTAAAACATTTTGTGGTTCTCACTACTTCAATGATTATAAACAGACAACACTGCAAGTTTTTCATTGGTATAAGTCTTTGGCACTATTTCCTTTCATGAAGGCTGAAACTACGCAGATGGGCTTTTTCAAGAACGCTGTAAATTTTTAGCCCAAAGCAAGTGCTGTATTACAGAGTGTTACTCATAACATCACAGCACTTTTGTTGTTTACAGGGTTTAATATCGTGATCATAATTCACACTTAATAAACAAATATACTTGGGACAGAACTACCTCATTGTTGTGTCAGGGTGGGTCAAACACACTCTCATAGAGGGACTCAAAGACTGTTCCCTGGGTCTTCCTTTTTCCCTTCCTCTAACAGATAACCAAAATGTTGTCCATCACACTATCAAAAAGTCAGTCACTTCTTCATCACCTGATGACTTCAGACCATTCAAATGACAGAGAACAATCATAAACTGGCAATGAGATAGGTGTGTTTCCACTCACATAGCAGAGCTTGAAGGCAGCACCCTGCCCATTACCCAAGGAGAATGTATGCTGCTGTTTTGTGGCTGGACATGCATTCATCATATGACAAGGGCCACTTGCGTGGTGTCACCTGCTGGATGTGCTGCCAGTCACACAAGAAGGGAATGGCAGGTCAGCAGCCACCAGCCTTCTCTCATCATTCTCCTCCACCTCAAGGCTTGAGAGAGCTAGAAGCTGGCTGCAAGCCAGAGAATTTGGGAAAGCAGACCAGAGAATTTTGGAAGGTAACACAAGCTAGGCACATTTGTGTACACACTGTCCAAAGGTGACCAGCATGAAAGAGACTGTATCTTTCAGCTTTACATGGACTGGCATTAAAAGGCAATTAATTTGATTTCAAAGTTTTCATGCAACTCATTAGTAGGGAATAGGTCTGAAGACAAATTATCAAGCCGTATCTGTGACTGCCTGTCCTCTTGAATCAAGAAATATGCAAGAATTTTGCTTCTGCTCTCCCCACATCCTCCCCAGCTACATTTAAAAGTCTCTGTCCAGAGTTTGCTAAATTGTCTTTAAAAAAATGTACATATACAGAAACAGAATACATGATGTAAAATAAAAGTAACTGACACATTCTGAGGTGTCAAAATGCGTCAGTCACTTTGATCAAACCTAAGAAATAGGTGAGCATTCCTTTTTAGCGCAAAATCCTGAAATGGACCACCTTTAGAAACTGCTGTACCTTAAATCCACAAAAGCATGGCTATCTTGCTATGTTGCTACACACAAAGTCAGTTTAATGAAAACACTGAGACTCAGTGGTTTCATCTGTGATTTAGAAAGCAGAAATACACACTGACTGCTAAGATTTCTCAAATGAAGCAAATAGATAAGACATCGCTTAAGAAGTTCAAGAAGAAAAATCATAATCAAGGACTACATGCACCTAATCTCACTGGCTGAGTAGTTGA